AAGACAGGAGTAAACCTTTGTGACCTTGTTTCAGACAATGGTTTCTCAAAAGCACAAATAGCCAAACAAAAAATAACAATAAACTGCACTTCATCAAAATTAAAAATCTTTTTGTTTCCAAGAGCACTATTAAGAAAATGAATATTTTTCTCCCACAGAGTGCGAGAAAATACTTGCATGTCATATATCTGATAAGGGTACAGTATCCAAAATATGTGAATACTTTAAAACTAAAGAATAAAAAGACACATACACAAAAAAACCAATTTAAAAATAGGCAAAGAATTCAAACAGACATTGCTTCAAAGAAGATATACAAGTACCTAATGACCACATGAAAAGATGTTCAGCATCATCAGGCATTGCTGCTGCTGCTAAGTCGCTTCAGTTGTATCCAACTCTGTGCAACCCCATAGACGGCAGCCCACCAGGCTCCCCCGTCCCTGGGATTCTCCAGGCAAGAACACTGGAGTGGGCTGACATTTCCTTCTCCAATGAATGAAAGTGGAAAGTGAAAGTGAATACGTTCAGTCGTGTCCAACTCTTAGTGACCCCATGGACCACAGCCTACCAGGATCCTCCATCCATGGGATTGTCCAGGCAAGAATACTGGAGTGGGGTGTCATTGCCTTCTCCTCATTAGGCATTAGGAAAATGCAAATCAAAGTTACAAAAGGAAAAAACCACAACTTCACATCCACTAGGATGGTCATAATAATCCAAAATAAATAAAAGAAAAATAAGAGAAGTTGTAACCCTCATACATTCCTTACAGGAGTATAAAATGGCACAGCCCCTTTGGGAAACAGTTTTGTAGTTCCTCAAAAATTTAGATACAGAATTACCATATACACATGGAATTCCATTCCTAGGTAGACATTCAAGAAACAGAAAGCACACACCCCGCAAAAACTTGTACATGAACAATGCAGCATTATTCAGAATAGGTGAAAGTGGCAGTAATGCAAAATTCCACCAATAAATGAATGGATAAACAAAATGTGGACTACAGTGGAATATTATTCAGCCATAAAAAAGGATGAGGTACTGACACATGCTATAATGTGGACAAACCTTGAAACCATTATGCTAAGTGAAAGAAACCAAACACAAAAGGACAAATACTGTATGATTCTACTTACATGATATACCAAAAACAGGTAAATTCAAAGAGACAGAAAGTAGAGGAGAGTTTAACAGGGTCTGGGAGGAGATTCTTTATGAGGTGATGAAAATGTTTTAAAATAAGGTAATAGTGAAAGTTATACAACTCTGAATATACTAGAAACACTTTACAAAGGTGAATTTTATGGCATATGAACTATATCTCAGTAAGATTGTTATTAAAAAAAAGAAAAAAAAGTAAAAGAAGAAGGCCCCTTTCCTGGGCCCACATACCAAAAGTACACAGAAAATAAACTGAATGAGAGTTAAGAGTACACAGGGGAATCTCTGCTTCTAGGGATGTGCCACTGAGTGCTGGCGCAGTGACCCGAAACTTAAACATCCATTTCCATAATTCAACACTGCTCTGGTCCTAGGCATCACTTCTCTGCATCTCTCATCCTATGTCCTTGAAACAGAAGACAACTGTGATTCTATCCTGTGAAGGTTTGTGTCATGGCCAGCGGGAGTGATGGACACTGCTTGGAGCATAGGAAAGATTGCAGTGGCAAAAGCACTGCAGTAAGAGACAAATTAATCAACTTGTCAACTTCTTTCCAGATTGAATGCAATAGACTCTCAAACAATAAACTATCATGCCAAATATAACCAAGCATTCATTTTCATGTATTCCAACCACTGCTTCTGAAAAGAACTCACAAATAAGGGTAATATTTGCAAGAGTTTCACATGGTTGAGATAAATTTTTTAATACAAAGCATTATAAGTTGAACCATTTCTGCCCCTGCCAAATTAACATGTTGAAGTCCTAATGCCCAGTAGCTCAGAACATGGTCATATTTGGAAATAGGGTAACTTGAGTACAGAGGTTAGTTGTTACCCTGTACCCAAGTTAAAACAGTCACTGGGATGGGCCCAAATACAATATGACTGGTATCTTTATGAAAGAGGAAATTTAGTGACACACACACAGGGAGAATGCTGTGAGAATATCAAAGCAGAAAATGGGGTGATGCATCTACAAGCCAAAGAATGTCAAAAGAATACACACTGTGAAAATCTCATGTAAAACAACATAGGTATTCATTTTGCTGAAATGAAGGCAATAAAAGAAGTTTTAATGGAACTAATATATAACAATCAATGAATTACTTATAATATCTTTGGCTCATGAACAGAACATGTAGACATGAAGAAGAATCATTAAAGTGGATAGTTTTGACAGTTCCTGGCTTCTAGTCATATACAAATTTTGCATGTATTTTAAAATTTTGTCATTATGAAAGTATATTTGTCAATGTGGGAGGACAGAACATATTTCACTGAACAGTTTGCTAGCTTGATTTACAACATTTAAATGTGTAGACATGTGGTATGTGGGCCTCCACTTGCATTCATGCCTCAGGCTCCGATAATCGTTAGAGGTGGGCTGGGACCCAGCAATGACAGAAGAAAGCTAGCCTTCGGCTCTGAACAGAAGCCAAACCAACGTCTCAAACTCGCTCTTACTACAATCTAAAATGCCATCCTTGAAGCTTCATGCGAAGACCTGATGCAGTCCCTAAGAGGAGTGGCAAGCGCCTCACATGCTTTGTCTTTCTGGGCCATAAGCCCAAGGGCCCTACGAGCCCGTCCCAGTCTAGGGATGTGCTGTGGCCTCAACTGGTGCCCAGCTCTCGCCAGGTTTCATGCACCTAATACATCTCACTGCTCCAAACATCAGGGTGTGTCATGCACTTGCATTTGATTTCCTTGCAGTAACTCTTATGGTGCTACCTTCAAGTGAAAAGAGCAGTCTTCTAACTGCACTTCACTCCTACCTTGGGAAAAGACTGTGCAGTTTGACAAAAGGCTTTCAGAGCACTCCTCAGTGTGGTGACATCCCCCCGGGACTATTATTTTGTTACTTTCTGTTACGTCCCTTGTGGGGAGGTTTGACATCTTGCTGAGGATAGGGAAGGGAACTAGCATTCCATTTGGGAGTTAGTCTTAGGAAGAGAGGAACTCTTGGAGATAGGGTAAGTGGTGGCAGCTGAGAAAGGAGAAAAAAACAGGATCTATCACCAGTTCTAAGGGAATGAAAGAAAAGGGTACCAAAATGCCAACCAACCATGCCAAAATGGGGATGAAAATTGAGCTGCAGAAGGCCCTATGGGATTTCCAGCTTTGATTGTATTTTCTTGCGGCTCCCTTTAAGCAAACATGGCAACTGTATAGTTTATGTTACCGCAGACTAACATGATAGATAAATGAACAGCTCACATAAAACAGTGCCTGACATCAAAGGATACTTTGAGCTATCACTGAGAATCTTCAAGGAACTTCAATAACCTTTCCATAGATATCAGCTCACAAAAGTGGTGTACTATCTTTGTAAGAAATTGAGAATCATGAAAAGATAGACTGGGTTCATCAGAAAGGCAGTAACAAAGAAAGAATGAAAACTTCAAGAAGCAAAGACATAAAAAGGTTTAAAAAATAATTTTGATACTAAAAAAAGGAACTCTGATACAAATACAACAGGTAGAAAATCAACAGCGCAGTGTTTAAGAGCAAAGGCAGATTAGTGAACCACATTAATCAAACTAGGACAGAGATTATCAGCTGCATTTGAAACTCAGATTAACAGGAACAAACAAGGTAGCAGAGTGGGAACCATTTTTACAGCCGGTAACAAAAGTTTTCATCTTTGTTTAAATAAGACTTCAAAAGGATTCCATATATCAACAAATAAGTGAGTTCATTTTTAAAAAAAAGATTAACTTCAAGAAATGCAAGGCAGAGTGACCACACTTCTGACCTGCTTTAAGATCAATCAACATTTTCTACCTGGGCAAGTAGAATGCAATTAGCATGTGGGTGACTTTAAAGACTCTTTAACAGTCGCCTTTAACTGGTTGATGAAATAGCAGAACAGTGTGGCTGAAAGCCAATGTTTATTTTTACCCATTACCTATTTTATTAATGGGATTGTGGGCCGCTGGACCTCCAGGCACACACAAATATATTAAAATATCCCACACTGTAATTAAGAGGCACAGAGGGGATTAGAGCAAATTAAGCGGTTGTTGTATTTGCCATTGGTTTAGTCTAGGTCAGGCATTTGGATGCTCTCATGGCAAAGCCCAGTGAGTTTTACTTAAGAAATACACAGAATATGAAATACATTTTCTTGCAGATCAAGGATTTTAATAAGCAGGTCATCCCCCACCCCTGCTCAAATAAAAATATACATAAAGAAAAATGCCCCAAGTGAATGCTCTTAGAATGAAAGAAGAGATTCCCTCAAACAGAAAAGGAAAAATGCATCAACAATAGGGTCAGTGAAAGAAACTGGATTTTGAGACTCAAAACGAAACAAACATAAGTCTCATCCAGACACAGGGCTTTCTTTTCCTCTGCAAGTCAAAACTTCTGCCTCTGAGTTCTTTAAAGGGAATAAGAAAAAAGTGATCACCTAGCAGATGACCTGCTCAATAAGTAAAGAATCAGGAATATTTGTAGGAATGAAGAACAGACCCTTTGAGGCAAAGGCTACAGTATAGGTTCCTAAGCCAGCACTGTTTCATTTTCTGGCTTGATTTTACCAAATCCATTGTAACTAAACGTCAGTTTAATCTGAAAATAGTACATGTAAGTAGACTCTTTGTTTTGATTGTTCAGAATCAACATTACCACAATTGAGATTACTGCCAGGCTGGTCTCCTGTGAATCTTCATATCAAAGAAAAAGCAAAATGGAATGAGGGCAGGGCGAAATGGAATGAAATCTGGGAACACAGTGTTTTGACCCAAGCAGAGGACAAAACGGCCTTTGCCCTAGCAACCTCGGCAGAAACCCTTGAAAATGACACAGAAGAAGATGCAAGTACTTACGAAGATCCTGGACTTGCAGTGGGAGGGGGGCCTGAAGAAATGAAAGAAAAACAAAAGAAACAGTCAGCCTGGGTTATTGGAGGGTAAGCGTCAGTACAGTCAAACCATTACAATCTAAAGTTCTCAACCACCCCAAGGTGATATTCATTTTTCTGGAATTTATTATTTTGCTCCAGCTCCCCCAATCACCTCTAGGAAAAAACATAACCAATGAGATTATCCCACGGTTCAGAGCCTGAAAAATGCTAAGACCAGGGTTGAAAAATGAGTCAACAAGTAGGCATTATCGTGAGATACAGGGAGTTTCAGCAGGAGGCTGAATGAACCCAAGGACACTGAGGCAGCCACAGACAGGGGTCTTTGATGCCAGCTGGACCAAAACGGGACACGTGTGCTAGAAATCTTCCCAACTGCTCTGGACAAGGAACATCCTTTCTGAGAAGAATTCACTGGTGTGGTGATGTAGAATTGGAGCTGAAGTTAGACCGATCTGGACCCTGCTCTTGCTCTGCTGTTTACTGGCTGGGTGACCTTGAACATGGTACTTAACGGCTGGTTTACTTATTTCTAAAATGGGTACAAGTGTACCAGCTTCTGTGATGCTGGGCACACCCAGTACAGGCTCATTTCTCCATCCCTCCTCACACCCATGGAGGCTGAGAGTCAAAGGTCATCCCCCGTAGGAAGCTGCTTACCGAACTTGACAAACAAGACTCCGGTGGTAGAAACCACTTTCTTGCCATTTGTCGCCACACACTGGAAGTAGCCTGTGTCTGTGGTATCCAGGTTTCTAATCCGCAGTCGAGAGCCATAGTTGGTTGCCCGAAAGGAGATCCTCCGGGGTTCCTGGACCACAGGGGCATCATTTTTGAACCAACGGATGGTGGGAGGTGGATTCCCCGAGACTTTGCAGTGCAGTTCAGCCGTCTGCCCCAGGGACGTGGTGATGTTATTCATCGGCTCATCGAGGGTCAGGTAAGAATCTGTGCGTACAGAGAGAAGCAGGCAGATGAGAGGGGCAGACCACCTCCAAGAGACACAAGATTCACTCTGTGCGTCCCAGACCAGAGAGACTTAACAGGAGCAGCATGGTGGAGACAGATGAGGCATGAAGTTAGTCCTTTATCGAGACCTGTGACTGCTAAGCAACCACCCACCGATCCTGCTGCTTGGAAGGAAATGTGTTACTAACTGTGGAATAAAACCCGGTTTTCAAATGACTATGTAGTACCCATGGATAAATGGACTTTCCAGGCCAAGACAAAATGAATTTTTGTGTTTCAGAGTAATAAAAAATAATACATGCTCTTTGTTACAAATGCAAATGATACAGTGAAGAAGAAAAAGAAGCAAAATTCACCTCAAATCTCCTCACCCCAAAATATATCCTTCTTAACATTCTGGCAAAGATCCTACCAGCTTGCCCACTTTTGGTAAGAGAGAAAGCATGAAACACTGGGAAAGTAGGAGCAATATATTTATGTCTACATGGCCCAAGATCAGGAAGGATGCTGAAGATCTCCCTGCCAGTGATGATATAATAAGGGTTATGAAGGCCAGGTTGCTGGCAGACAAAACGATGAGACAATGAAACTATTTCCATAACGTCACTCATGTCAACCACAACACATTATAAACAATAATTTCATGCATTCAATTTTTAATTGAGATATAATTTACATTCTATAAGATGTATCAATCTTAATTTACACAGCTCCTCTAGTATCAACAAATGCACGTGCCTGTGTAACCAATGCCCCATCAAGGTATAGAACAACAGAACATTATCAATATCCCAGAAAGTACCCCAAAGTCCTTGATGGTCAATCCCTCCTCCTACTCATGACCCCTCCCCCATGCCAGGCAACTACAGCTCTGATTTCTACCATCAGAGATTGATTTGCCTGTTCTAGAATTCACATAAATGGAATCATACTGTTTTGCATTTAGCTTATTCTGAGATTTATTACATTAAACATTTTAATATTGAATAAATTTTAAGCTTATTCTTCAATGATATTTTAAACATCATATTGATATTAGTTATGGAATCCAGTTGCAGAGTAAATAATCAGTTAAATTTTTAAAAACTAAGTACAAGAAAGTTTAAAAATTGGTCAATTATTCAATAAGACATATGGAGTTTTCTTTGACTTCATTTTTCTTGACCATTCAATCTCGGGTAGATCCCCCTCCTCAATACCTCCCACTGCCCTCTGTCCTTCCCCCACCACAACCTGGGATGACTTGCTAAGCAGCTGTCTTCACTGCTAGGCAGAAAGCCCTTAGGGGCAGGCAGAATGTTTTGGTCATCACTGCATTCTCAGAGTATCCTACCATCTGGGTGCAGCATTATCCAGTAGCACTTTCTGCTATCATGGACATGTTCTGTAATCTGCATTGTCTAACCAGTAGCTACTAGTCACAAGTTGACCTATTTAGCAGATGAAATATGACTATAGTGACTAAAGAACTGAGGTCTTTTTTTTTTATGTGGACCATTTTAAAAGTCTTCATTGAATTTGTGACAAAACTGTTTCTGCTTTTTGCATTTTGGTTTTTTGACCATGAGGCAGGTGGGATCTTAGCTCCCTGACCAGGGATCGAACCTGAACACCCTGCATAGAAGGCAAAGTCTTAACCACTTGACTGCAACAGAAGTCCCAGGAACTGAATTTTTAAATTTAAGTTAAATAGCCACAAGTGCCTAAGTGTATGGCAGCACAGGCAGAGCACAGTAAATTTGTTGAATTTAATAGAATTTTATTGACAACTTGTTTTTGAGATATCTAACTGGCTAATTTATGCTAAAGCCTTTGACTGTGTGGATCACAACAAACTGTGGAATATTCTTAATGAGATGGGAATACCAGACCACATTACCTGCCTCCTGAAAAACCTGTATACAGGACAAGAAGCAATAGTTACAACTCAACATAGAACAATGGACTGGTTCAAAACTGGGAAAGAAGTACGTCAAGGCTACATGTTGTCACCCTGCTTATGTAACATATATGTAGAGTACAGCTTGTGAAATACCCAGCTGGATGAAGCACAAGCTGGAATGAAGATTGTCAGGAGAAATATCAACCTCAGATATGCAGATGATAACACTTTAACGGCAGAAAGTGAAAAGGATCTAAAGAGTCTCTTGATGAAGGTGAAAGAGGAGAGTGAGAAAGCTGGCTTAGAATTCAACATTCAAAAACCGAAGATCTTGGCATCCGGTCCTATCTCTTCATGGCAAATAGATGGGGAAAATGTGGAAACAGAGCCAGATTTCATTTTCTTGGGCTCCAGAATCACTGCAGATGGTGACTGCAATCATTAAATTAAAATATTATGACAAAACTAGACAGTATATTAAAAAGCAGAGCCATCACTTTGTTGACAAAGGTCCGTATAGTCAAAGCTATTGTTTTTTCAGTAGTCATGTATGGATATGAGAGTTGACCATAAAGAAGGTTGAGAACTGAAGCTTTCAGACTGTGGTGCTGGAGAAGACTCTTGAGAGTCCCTTGTACTGCGAGGAGATCAAATCAGTCAATCCTAAAGGCAATGAACCCTGAATATTCATTGGAAGGACTGATGCTAAAGCTGAAGCTCTAATACTTCGGTCACTTGATGTGAAGAGCTGACTCACTGGAAAAGACCCTGATGCTGGGAATGATTGAGGGCAAGAGGAGAAGAGGGCAACAGAGGATGAGATGGTTGGATGGCATCACTGACTCAATGGGCATGAGTTTGAGCAAGGTCTGGGATATGGTGATGGACAGGGGAGGAGCATGCCTGGCATGCTGCAGTCCATGGCATTGCAAAGAGCTGGACAAGACTTAGTGATTGAACAACAACAGCTGGCTAATTTAACCACTCAGATGACTGTAAATGCTTTCATAAAGCCCAACAATAAATCATTCATTATTTGCTTTAATTTCCCACAAAAAATTGGGTAGAGAGGTTGTCAAAGTCTGGGCAGTGCCACAGTAATGAGTCATGCATGTGAATGGCATTTATCATGTGTTCCTGATGTGTGAGCTATGGTCAGAGAGTAGAAACTAGTTTACAGGTGGTTTTCTGGAGCTATTGGAATGGCTTTACAGTTCTATTGGGAACCTAAAGAATGGATAACTATGCACACTCTGTAGAAAAGAAACAAAGAAATAGCCGTCACACAACAATGCCAGTATAGGCATAGTGATTAATACTTCATTGGGCAGATTCTGGAATTTGATTGTGCTGGAATCCAGTGTCTGTCCCCACTATCCTGGGTGACTTTGGGCAAGTTACTTAACTTTTTCTATACCCCAGTTTAACCAACTAAAAAACAGAAATAATAAAGAAGACTCCACCTGACAAAACTGTGAGAGGATTAAAATTAAATCAGGAGAGACTTGTAAGATATTTAAACTAGCTATGGCAAAGGTGACAGTGAAAATGTTAGTCACTCAGTCGTGTCTGACTCTTCATGGACTGTAGCCCACCAGGCTCCTCTGTCCATGGAATTCTTGAGGCAAGTATACTGGAGCAGGTTGCCATTCCCTTCTCCAGGGGATCTTTCTGACCCAGGGACTGAACCCCAGTCTCCCACATTTCAGGCAGATTCTTTACCATCTGAGCCACAAGGGAAGCCCCATTGGCAAAAGGTAAGCACTCAAAAATGTTAACCAATGTTCTATTATTTTTATTTTTCTTAAATTTAAGATTTTTTTTTTAATGTGGACCATTTTCACAGTCTTTATTGAATTAGTTACAGTATTACTTCTGTTTTGTTTTTTTGGCCACAAGGCATGTGAGATCCCAGCTTCACAACCAGGGATGGAACCTGCACCCCCCGCAGTGGAAGACAAAGATTTAACCACTGGACTGCCAGGGAAGTCCCTCTGTTATTTTTATAATAACTTCTGTATAATACTTTTACTTTGTCTCCTGTTAACCTCTAACAATCCTGCAAAGTAGGAAAGGCACAGAAATCACAACGCCTGGCTGCAGATAAGGAGATGTCTCAGAGATTAGCTGATTGGCCGTGTGGTCACATTATATATTTGTGTATATAATTGTACATTATACCCCAAGCTTCCAACATGAACAGCTTTGGGTCCTCAGGCTCAGCCAAGCAGGTAGACAAAGTCCAACTGTGCCAGCTGGTTAGTCCAGTAGTAAGAACAAACAGACTCTAAGTCCTGCCATATGCCAGAGGCTTTACCTTAATATTTACCTGTCCAATAACCCTGCCAAGGAGGAACTGTTATAGCCACTCAACAATGAGGAGACATAGGACCAGAGAGGTTAAGTGACTTGTCCAGGGTCACATAACTGAGCCAAGCTCTGGTTCAGCTTTCCCTGGTTCCAAAACCTAGCACCTTCCACTTCATCAGATAGCTTTGGTAGCTTCAGCTTCACTGAGGAGTGGGGATAGAATTCAAATTTCTTCCTTAAAGAAGAGCTGGGGTTTACACATTTCCACATACAGGCAGGGTTGTGAGCTTCCTTCTGCCTCTGGCCAGGATTATCTGGTGAATGGGTCTAAGATTTTGCCACATGTTCTGACTGGTGTTATGGTTTCCCTCCCAAAGCCAAGTACCTCACTTGACCTGATAATGCCCTGCAGGCCCTTCTCTTTGAAGCTACATCCTGTTTCCTGTCTTTTCAAGAGCACAGGTCCAGCTTTGAGTTGGAGGGGTGTCTTCAGTGGCAAGAGGTGTACCATCTCTCAGGTACTCCCACAGCTTGGCTCTCCCTCCCAGATTTCTACCTACTTTAAATATCAAAGCCAGCCAATATCAACCTCACTCCCCAGAGGATAGGACAACAGTTTTGGGGCACCAGGCATCTCAGTGGTTAACATGAATGCTGAATTTTAGTCAAGAAGAAAAAGCCATTTCTACTTTATTTCTTTGTTTCCCCCCATCCCCACCCCAATAGGCAGTTGCTACTAAAATCCAAGCAAGCTTCTTGGCCCTCATAGCATAAAATATAAAAGGGT